CAGACACAGACAGACACAGACAGACACAGACAGACACAGACAGACACTGACAGACACTGACAGACACTGACAGACACTGACAGACACTGACAGACACTGACAGACACTGACAGACTGACAGACTGACAGACTGACAGACTGACAGACACAGACAGACTGACAGACTGACAGACTGACAGACTGACAGATTGACAGACTGACAGACTGACAGACTGACAGACTGACAGACTGACAGACTGACAGATTGACAGACAAACAAACAGCCAGTCAGCCAGGCAGGCAGACAGACAGACAGGTAGTTTTTTCACTGAATACAAAGGAAATCCGCAAGATTGATCCATGTTTGTTTCATGTCCAGAATCAGCTGTCAGGCCTGTCGAATTCCCCCCAAGGCTGTCAAAGTTGATAATTTGCTGAAGCCATTGTTCCGAGGCAACTATGATGCGGAGCAGATCATATGGGGCATGGCAAAGTGCGAAAGACGAACACTGACATGTTGCATAGACAAACAAATACATACATAGAGAGAGAGAGAGAGGCACCCCATGTCGCAAAAGTTGAGAACCTCCTTCTTGTGGACTTGTGGAAACCTCGTGACACTGTGGACCCAGTTTTAGTGGACAGAAAAGGTGTGGGGGGACTGTGAGGTGTGCTGGCTCGCAAAAGATATTGGATCAACACAAATGAGCTATTTCCCTTCCGCCTTTCAAAGTGCTCGTAGGCAACACAATGTGAGGTGTTTGAGGCCTTCGACCTGCTGAATGAAGCACGAAGGTATGGCATCGACAAGCCGGACATGCTTCGTGCGAGAGCTCCTCAAGCCACTGTCCTGAGTCCCAGTACAACGGACTTGGCTGTGGCCAGTGGGTAAAAATGATAAAAACCATCCAGAACTACCGGAGTCACCAGAGGTGTCATTCCCTAGTATATATATATATATACTTAGACAAAAATATTCTCTTCATTTGGAGGTGGACATGGGTAAGAGAGGGTCCTGATGATTTCACATTCACATGCTGTCCAGAAGAGAACAATCAGCATCGCCATACGAATCTTGCGCGCTTTGTGAGTAACTAGAAGCCGTTTCACTGGGAATCGTTTAACCTGTAGTAACAAGAAGATTTCTAGTGTTGTGTTTGAAGCTTCTTAGTAACAAGAAGCTAGTAGGTTGGAGGCCGCTAATACCACTAGGAACAAGAAGCTTTTAGTGTCTTTGAAGCTTCTGTGCTCTTCGGAGAGGCTGTTCTCCTGACATCCCACGACTGCTTCCCTATCGCGGGCGGCCGCGAAGGCTTTGCAGAGGCAGGGTTTGGTGTTTCACAGAAGCCAGCTTACTCACTAAAGGTAGGACCCTGGTGATATGGTAAACCTAAGGGATAACAAAAGTCTGTTTGTTTTCGGTTGTCCAACTTCTACCAGAAACTGACCATATTGGGTGACTATCACACCTGAGAGCAAGCACTTCATAGTTTGTCAAGAGCACTTGATGTGGTTTGACTCTTTTTCGCTTCTTATCCAGGTGGAAGCTGCATTTCACGCTCACGGAGATGCCACGAACCTCTATGCCAGTGAAGCACCTGGCTTTCATGAGGCCTTGTTTTGCTTTGTCCTTCTTGCTTTGTACTTCAACCTTTGTGCAGAATGCATCTACATAGAACTGTAGCCTCGTTCGCTAGGTTCGAGGTTCCAAGTAGCTTGCATCTCAATGGCTTCACGGTAATGTACAGAGCATGAACAATCGTCAGATCCCAGTTGGCCAATCCTTTCTTGCTCACATTGTTGGGCCATTGAGTCTTATTCCGCCCCTTTGAAGAATGTTTGAGTGTCCTCGCAGTTCACAACCTTTTTTTTTTTTCGACGCTATGTTTGGCTGGGCTTGCCCATGTTGCTTGCCTTTTGACTTTGATCCAGTGGAGGTCCCTGCCCTGAAGGCCTCAGGCAGCGTACTCGCCGCCGGCCAAAGGCCTCTCAAGAAAGGCAGGCAACTGGAAGCCAGAGGTTGCGCTTCCTCTCCTGTGATCCAAGAAGAGGACAAGAAGTTGATCCTTGAAGATGACAATAGGAGGTCTGCGACAAGGAGCCACAAGCGCAATGTTGTGGCTGCTGGCTTGCAGCGCTTCGCAGCCGAAAGACTTCAACCCCAGGCAGATTGGGAGCAATTGACAGAAAGGGTGGTTTCTGTGCTCGCACAGAACCCCTCTCCTTTCACATTGAATGGAACCAACTGTTACCTCGTTGGAACAGGGCGCAAGCGCCTTCTGGTTGACACTGGTGAGCAGCATTTTGGTGCTGAAGCTTTCATGAATGTCTTAAGTGATTGCATGGCCAATTTGGGTATTGAGGGTCTTGACGGCATAGTCATCACACACATGCACCATGACCACTATGGCAATGTTGGAAGATTACAAGAGAAATATGGGCCCGTTCCAGTCTATTCACGAGAGCTGTCCTACCGCACATCTCCTCTTCTTTCAGAGCTGCGAAAGAGAGGCCAACTACAGCACTTTGTGAATTTTGATGGCACCCCACGCTACAACCCGAAGCTTGACCCTGTGCCTCCCAAGTTGCCTGATGATCTTGACTTGTCCTGGGCAGAAGGAAGGGTGAAGAATTTCAAAGGAAAGAACACCAAAGAGAAACTACAATGGCTGTTTTTCATGACTTGGAGCCATCAAGATCTAATCAACCGCTTGCGTAGCTGCGAATACCCTTGGACACCCCTCACTGCTGGAGACACTATCTCAACCGAAGGTGCCACGCTGCTTGCCTACCACATGCCTGGCCATTCCGAAGATCACATGGTATTTCTGCTGGAGGAAGAGCATTCCTTGTTTTCTGGTGACCATGTGTTGGGTTGGGGGACCACCTTCATTGTGGACATGAAGGACTACATGGAGTCACTTCGGAGAATGCTTCACATGCAGCCTGTGAGCCTTTTCCCTGGGCACGGGCACTTTATTGAAGATGGCGTTGATATGCTTGAGCGCTACATATCCCACCGGCAGACACGTGAAAGGCAACGTGGTAGCAAGAGTTGCAACAGCCTCTCTTGGCTGTGAACATGTTGCAAGAGTTGTGCAATTTCTTTATTCAGAGGTCTCCCCTTTCAAACACTTTCTAGAAATCTCTAAGTTGAGTGTTCAAATGCAGGCAAGCATGGGATGCCTTGGTCCGCCGGAGGGAGCCTGTTTCCATCGAAGACATTGTTCACGAGCTTTATCCAAATACAGTGAAAGAGCGCTTGTGGATGGCCAAGAGCAATGTGGAGGATGGGTGTGTTCTTTAATTTAATGTGTCCTTTTGTTTTTTGGGCTTCTGTCTAGTTGGCTATATGGCTCACCAACCACCAAACATTGGCATTCTAAAACAGAGGGCAAACCAATGCAAGCCACCCCTGAGCAGGTCCTCTTTCGCAAGTTCGAGGCTGAAGGCGCTGCTTCGGCCTTTGCCAATGAAGCAGGACAACTGCAGCGAGTCCGAAAGCTTCCTTCGGGTTATTCCATGCGCCGCCGAGCAGCACTCGAGGTAGCTAAGAAGCCACTCCTAGGCCTTTCAGAAAGATCGCTTGGAGCACGTGTTAGTTTTTTTGTGTATGAGTTTGACATGCAATATGCAGAAATGTACTGCTTGGTATATAACATGTACACGTCCTTCATCTTGAGATAAAGAACGCTCGGGCATTGGGAGGCCTTTCAGGAATGGAATCTGTATGCCTAAATCCAGCATGCCAAGGCAACCTGCCGGACACATTCTTGTGGGCCGCAAGGCGCTCGATGGCACCGAAGCTTTAGTAGCTCGATGGCCATTCGACGGCAATTTTTCGGCTTCTGCTGCAACCAAACAATGTAGCCCATGGGGGTCATTCCCAGCATAGTTCCTTGAGCCAAGATACTGTGCCACCTAAGCAGCAGTTGAGCTAACCTAGGCTTCTGCCTAACCACCAGCAAAGCTGGCTCTCAGTTCGGCCTGCTCCAGGTCCTAATTAATGGAAGCTTGAAACAGGCTGCTGGAAATTGAATTGTGATTCTGGTGGTCTTTTGGAGGCTTGGCTTGCGGTATAACAGATCATGGCTATCATTAGGAGATGAGAATGAGAAGGCCTGCGGCCCCATTGAATATCTGTGCCTGGCCTTGCAGCAGTTGGCTCAATTCTGCCCGGTCTCAATTTGCCCAACGAAGGCGGGCATGTGGGGCCAAGGAAACATTGTTGACAGGGAGAGATTCTAATAGCTTCTTGTTAGTACTAGCGATGCACCTGTTACTAGTAGCGATGCACCTGTTACTAGTAGGCCCACCTTGTTGAACATGACACACACCTTTTTTGTTGATGTGACAGTTTTGTTTTTCCTGACGAACTGCGCCTGGAAGGAGCTCGAGGTGCCAAATGTGGCGCCGCTTGGCGTTGGGGGCACTGTGCCTCGGGGTGAAGGCAGGACATGTTGGGATTTGTGGAAAGCCGTATAGATCTGAAGAACAGAGGCATGCTTGCGAAAAGGGTAGATCAACTGCAGTATTTTTTGATCCATACAAAAGAAACGAGCCGTTCCTGTGGCAGTTTGATGAATGGCTGACGTGAAGGTTGTACAGCATCTACTGTGACTGTTTGAATTGGAGGGGGCCCTGTCCGGCAAGGCGCTCTCGCCCTGTGATGACGAAGCTGGGCAGGTTTGCCCCATGAGCATTGGCAAGGCATCGTGGATGGCAGTGGGATGGTAGTCTTTGAGTTTCTGACATGGGAAACAAGCTATCTGTAGTTGAAACTTGAAACTAATCACACCCAAAGCTTTGTACCAATCAAGAATGGCCATCGCAGGAGATTGGAGAATGCTTGCAAGACCCCTCGAAGCACCAGGCAAGCTGTGTGGCAATTGTGTGGCAAGGGGTTAGCCTATCGATCCGAGCCTCCACTTCCGAGGGTCTATCCAGAACTTAATCCTTGGACACCATTCCAGCTTTGTACACATACAACCAAAACCACGCAGCCGCCATTTGATGTCCAAAGCTTTTCCAGATATTTTATTTTCTTACTCCCTTTTCAACTCGTTACTCGGCAAAGTTCACTGAAAGCCGTCTTTAATAGCCGCCATTATATATATATATAACTATATGTGTCCGAATCTTGGCCAAAGCTTCTTTGCTTTCTGCCTCCTTTTCCTCTTTTCACTCGTCAAAGTCCATTTAGAAGCGTCGTTAATCCAAAGTCCTTGGTAAAAAAAGATAAACAGACAAACTTAATTAACTAGGTCACACTTCAAATCACACCTACTGAGTAGGGTGGTCATAAGTTGGGCTATATGAGTATAGTCAGAATTCGCCGAAGAGAGAACAACTAATGTACTGAACATGGAATCTGAAATCAGCTCAAGACGAACATACACTATACACTGACCGAATAGCTGCAACACTACAAGAAATATCATGATGTTCATAGCTTCGTAGCACGCATGCGCAAGTGTATATTTTTCTTGGAGAAGAAAACCAGCAATACATGGCCAGATTTTCAGCAAAAGCACAGTCTCTTGTCACTGCGCAGCTCACGGACATTGATGGCAATCCTAGAGAGTTGGAGCCTGGCGTTGGGGTCCCAGCCGCCAAGACGTGCACGATGGATCAGTTCTGTTTCTTTAAGCAAATGACCCAATGGTCATAAAGAAAGTCTTAGTTGAGAGATCATGAAACTCAAGTCTGGACATGGTCTGGGTCTGTAAGACAATTCGAGGAGAAGCCACTGGAGCTTTCTGCTGGCTGCAAGGAGATGCAACGGGGTCGCAGGAAAGGTCCAAAGTTGCTATGTGGATTGTGTATGACAGATTTTTAGGACTTTATCAAGACCAATCTGGCATGCGATTCGGAGATTGAGAACTTTTGCCAAGGGATGTGCCTCAGCTGCATATGAGAGCTTTGATGATTGGTTGAGCGTGGGTACTATGGCTATGAACTGGAAGGAAGACGCCCAGCAAGTCTAGGGTGTGTATGCCTTGCCTGTTCTTCCCTGCAACAATATATAGACCTATACTAGATCCTAAATCTGTGGTTTCGATGAGTCACAACGGGGTCTACGAGGCTAGGCCTTTTGCAGTAAGAACATGGTAGCAGTTGGTACGAACAGGGTCCGTACATGGTATGGCCTTGGTACGAGCACGGTCATGCGTATGTGGGTGGCACGTGAGTTGTACTTGCACGATCTTGCACGACCTTAGTTCGGAGGGTTGCCAACCTTCTTGCAAGCTCAAATTCCCACGGTACGCTGGCACACCCCCTGCACGCACCCCAGACACATTTGTCGTACAGAAATAAGGCCAGATATACAATCAGACCTTAAAGGGGTAAATAAGATTCCACACCTTTTTCTTGCATGACCTGAAAGTGAACATGTGCCGTGCGACCTGTGGATGAATGTGGGAAATGTGGACGAAGAGTGCCCTGTGCTGTTGCCCATCTGCAGTTTTGGTCCGTACGGCATCCTTATCTCATTAGTACCTTTTGTTTACTTCCCGCACTTCGCTCGCCATCTCCGCTTGCATCCAACAATTCTTTTTTGTTTCATATATATACATATACACACTATCTCTTCGTTTTTGATAAACTATGCTGCCATCTACGAAGGAAGCAAGGTTTGACATTGGATTTGCTTGCTCATTGAACGGTAGCCTTCCAGTGTGTTTGTCTCCTGAAGTTCTATGCCCACCGACGACCGTGGCTGTGCGGAAGGTTTTTCCATGGTGACACTATGACTTGCCTGACGCAGTGGACCAGCGCTAGCGACTTGAGCACAGAGTGTGCTGGAACATTGCCAAAGAAGGCCCGCTGCCGAGCAGCTCGTTGTCTCAATATTCCTCGGGTTTGTGGAAGAGCTTTCAGAACTTTACCAGGGCTGAAAATTGGTACGCAGCTTTCGTTTGTGCAACAAAGATACTTTCTGAAGTAGTTTATGCCCAAGTTCAGTGCAGGCCAGTTTGGACTGGCTTTCCAGTGACCTTTGGCCCTTTAAGCCAGTCCTAATCAAGCATAAAGTACTATAGGTTGCGTGGTGCAACAGTTCCTGTCAACATTCTCCTTTAAAGGCAGAGGAGGACGAAGAGGCTGGCCCATTGAATTTTGGCTGTGATTGTTTGGCCACGAAAGCTTTGCTTTGATACTGACTGTCTTTAGCCTGTCAAACAGTGCAAGCGAGTTGCACAGGGTCAGAAGTTGCACGGTCACTGTTCGACGGTGCTTTGAGTCATTTTGTCACACTTTCTCCAAGAGGCTGCGGTGACTTGTTCTTGTTTTTGGATGCATTGCGAACTGCTGTGTGGGAGGTTGATGCAGAAAAAGAAGCATGGCGTGCCAAAAAGAAAGCAGCCAGGTACGGATTTCGATGGGAAGACAATCCAATTCGTCCATCACAGAAACACTCTGGAAACTATATGAAGCGCTTTTTTAGTCTGAAAGCACAGCCGCAGCAAACAGTGCATGAATGCTGAGATAGAACCCTTGTGTGTATTCCCGCCATTGTAAGAAGTGCTGACTGAACTCTGCTTTGTTATGCAGGAAAGCTGCCATGGATGCCATCGAGAAGGAGCTCTTGCAAGCCAACAAGATAACTCGCACACGCACATAGACAACTGCGCAGAGCTTCGCTTCGGCATTGGCTTTCTCGACAGCATGGGTACCAGACTAATGAAGCACAGTGCCTCTCTCGCTCCGAGCTCGAGCGTCTTCTATGCAAATATAGTCAGCCAGCCTTGCAGCTCCAGATGCGGGGACAGTTGAACTAAGAAAATACTGGCATTCTTTCAAATCTACCAAAGGAGAAAGGTGGTGAGAAGAAAAAGAAAAAGGGCAAAAAGAAGAAGAAGGACAGGCTTTTCTTGTGACTAGTCTCTTGAAGCGAAAGTCAGTGTTCCGAACGCGTTCCGAACGCCTTCCGTGCAATAGGACAAGGAGCTCTGAGACCTTCGCCTGTCGGCTATCTTTTCACATAGATCCATGTACACAGCACACTAAATTGGCACGCAGGGTTGGCACTTCAAAACTCTTGAAGGATGTAGGCCCCGTCATGTATGTGTTTTCTCATAGATCTTTGTTGCTTAGCCAACCTTGGTGGACCATCAAGATGGCCGTGGTGGCCAGACAGCCGAAAGGGGTGCGAAGCAGACGGGACCGTTGTTGACGGTGATGGGCAAAGATTACAGCGGCTGACGTTCTCCATCCTTGGCTTTACCGTCTTTGCAGGTCACAGAGACAGGGCTGGATGCGGTGCAGACCTTCTTTCATGACCAGTCCGGCCATCGAGCATTTTCTGCCGCAAAGTGAAGGCTTTGAACTTCTATATACTTGCTTTCTCAATCGAATACACCAAGGAGTGCATGAGAGAGAGGGGAGGGCATTCTTGGACTGTGTACCAAAAGGGTTCACTTTGACATTGCAGAAGTATTCTGACCACATTGGTGAGAAATCACCAGCGGTCAGCCCGAACTTGTGAGGATGTTGTTGCACCTCCTCTGATTGACGCATTGTGTTCAACCCGTGGAGCTTTGATAACCTCACCTGCGACGAAGCAAACAGACTCGGCTGAGGCTCGGGCCAAGTCCGGACTGGCTGCTGCCCGTCTTAGATCCATCGCCGGGGTCCCCACAGGGTAATGAGGTCGACCTTGCGCGAAAATGGATGCAAGTATTTGATATTATTTTGTTAATGAAAGTGAATAATATCGCTTCTAGTAACAAGTGCCTTACTAGTAGTAACAAGTGCCTTGCTAGTAGTAACAAGATGCTATTAGGAACAATAACTAAATTAGAAACTATTATAACAATTTGCAATTCTTGTTTTTGAGGTGATGCCTGGAGCTGTTTACACGAAAGATTCCGTTTGCACGAACGGTTCCTGCATGTGCACTGTGAGTTTCGAGCTCTCATCTTCGGCGCAGGTATACAATCTTGCATGACTCTGTGAGCGGTCTATTCTTGTTGCACACAAGTGCAGGTGTTCAGTTTATTCTTCGGCATGAGTTTACATGTGTGTTGTCCCCATGTGTTTGTGCACATGTATACCCACAAACATATCTCAACATGTCACCGAGGAGCAGAGCCCACCTTATATTTTTTTGGCTTCAGTCATGGCAGGCCTTTGCCATGCAGCATGCTGTGGTTCGGCGAATCTCAAATGAAGGCTTGGGCACCTGGCGAGAGCCTCTAACAGACTTTGCATGGCTTTGCTTATGTGATGTTTCTTTGTTGTACACATTTGTCGGCTGTAATATTTTTTTTCTTCGTAACACCATCAACTGAGGTCCATGCACAGTTGTCAGTTCGTGCGTGGACACATGTTTTTCTACCAGCCCGGTGGTTCTGTGAAAGCACATTGGATGTCGGAACCAGTGTAGGCTTTCTTGGCACCGAGGCAGGGATTGCAGGACCACGTGTGCCAGCATGGACGCCCAAAGCAGACCGCATGCTCTTTGGTTGGAAACTGTCCAAGCTTTCAGCACCTTACAGCCCAACACGGAAAAGGATACTGAAGCTTTGTTTCTCGATATGTAGTAACAAGTGCATTGCTAGTAGGAACAAGTGCCTTACTAGTAGTAACAAGAAGTTATTAGTGCTATTAGAATTAAAACTAACATGTCACATTTGTTTGGACGGCCTTGTGGCAGTTCGTGCACTGCAGATGCCAGAGCACCTTCGTCTCCTGGCGCAGCCGAAGCGCCAGTCCCTCCGGTGGAAGCGGCGTGGGGAGGTGCACTGAGTGACATCAGCATGACACACAGCATGATTCAACACAAGATAGCAAGTCTTGTTTGAGGTTTCTGCAGGCTATTCTTTTAAACATTCAACAAGGTGTCCAAAGCGTTGACATTGTGCAAAGGTGCATTGGTCTTCACGTGCCAGAAGGAACATTTTCGTAGGTGTCTTGAAGCACTCACTTAGCAGAGCTTGTTCTTCAACCCTTTTTTTGTTCTGTGCCTCCTGCTCCAGGCTGTCGGCAGAGGTGCTCTTGTGATATGAGAGAGGGGAATCAGAGCACAAGCACCAAGAACAGTAATTAGATGTGACACGGAAGAAAGGCAAGTGTTGATTAGTCTTCGAGCCATACTGGTTGCACTCAAAGGGTGATGATCACAGCATGGACAGATTCTTGTGAGAGTTTCAACGTGGGCTGCATTGGACAATACCAACAAAGGATTCCAGGGGCTAGAGGGAAAAAGAAGCACCGCTGACAACACCAGTTGAGCTAGGAAGGAGCTGGTTGGCTTCACTGCCTCAGGCAGGTCTTCAGGGAATTTTTGGTGCCTTCTTCTGTTTTCGGTCTTCGCGTGTTTATCATGTTACTTGTCAGTGGTGGACTCTCACAATTCATAAAAGGACGAAAGGGTCCGAGCCAATACCTGTTTGTGAGAACTTTTGTCCTGGATGCTGAAGGAAAGCCCACCACCACCACCGCCACCGCCACCGCCACCACCACCACCACCACCTCAACCTCGTAATGTCAATCCAGAAAGATCATACTTGTACTTGTACACAAAGAATTCTGCTGTTCTCTCAAGTGGACACCAATTGAGCTGGTCTCAGATGAAACAAGCATAGAATCACCAGGCATTCCAAGATTAGCTGCAGCACGATGGAAATTCATTCTCAAATGTGCAGGTCAGTGCACGGATTGCCAAAGTGCCAGCCGAAGCCATCAACAAGGCACAGGACCGTTTGGTGAATGTACATTTGCTGTGTTGACATACTCGCTGCTGGCGTCGCTGGAGGTTTCAACAGCTGGTGCTGATCATGCAGTGGTGGCAGATGCCTCAGTGCAATCTAAGCATCTAAGTGTTTTGTGTGGAGTGCCCGATGCAGGCCCTAATCTGGGCAGTCGCCCTAATAGGTCACCCGAACAGCTGCCCCGCTGTTTCTTTCAGTTTTTGCATTTCATTGACATTCTTTTTGCAGCACTGCCAGCATCTCGAACCTGTCTTGGTGACTTTTCCTTGGTCAAAAGTTGCTTGCCATTCTCTTCGAAATCCCATTGTACCATTTGGTTCAGGAGTTTATCGAGAAGCTGATGTAATACTTGTGCGTATGCTCCCCACGACCTCCTCCTACAACATTTGCTGCTGTTTACAGTGTTTTCAACTGGATGATGGAGTTGACATTTGGGACTATTCTTTGAATATTAAACACACTATGAGCATTGGTATTAATCTTGACGCAACACTGAGGCAATTCATTTGTTTGCTTTCGTTTCACCTGTTGTGGGTTTTCCTTTGTAGCAAGGGCAATAATGCACAATGAGATTTGTGATTGCAATGCCTATATGGAAAGCCTCAAAAAAGAAGTCCTTTTTCTGGAATCATGAAATCAACATATAAGAAAGAAACAAGATAAGCAAGACACAAAGCATTTGTTTGGCTAAATCAACACGCGTTCGGGTTCGCGTTTGCCCTCTTCACACGTAGGTCTGAAACTGTCAAGTCCACTGGGTTGTGACTGAAAGGCAAGATTCAAGATCATACATGTGCGGTTGGTCATCCAACGGCCCAGTGACCCATCTATGTGAGCCAATCATTTTGGCTAAATCACACCAGTTGTGTGAGTGACCTAAACGGTTCTTTCGGACATCTTTTTGCAGCGAAATCCCAAATTGACGCTTCTTATTTATAACGCAGTCATCAAAAAGTACACTAATGTACAGCTTAGAAGCAGTACATCTCACTGGCTCTTTGTGCAAGAAGCTGAATGCATTTCACTTGAGGGGCCTCAGAAAAATCCTACGGGTGCAAACAACATTTGTAAACAGACAGAATGCCAACGAGCGAGTTTATCAAACGGTGTCAGACATTGCATTCCCACTAGGCAATGTCAGGATTAAACCATTCACTGAAATTTGGGCGAAAGACGCATTAAACTCGCTGGACACATCCTTCGGTCACAAAATAGTGATCCTTTAAGGCAGGTTACATATCAACCTGACAGCTCAAAGCCTGTCGAAATAATTAGGTTCAAGACGTGGAGGCTGACCCCCGGACATATAGATCCAACGAACTATATAATCCACTGTAGAATCAGCCACACTGGGCTTGATTGTCGAAACAATTCTTAATGGCTGCGTCGCGTGAACGTAGAGTTTGAGCTCGAGTGCATTCTTGTGCCAAAGCACTCTTGAAACTTGCTGCGTGTTTGCAGCAAAAGGGTGCAAGGCGAGAGAAAAAGGATTGGAGAAGCTCGGTCAGGCCAAGTTTTCCAACTATTTGGTGGACAACTGTATCACTGTGCCCATTTCGAAGATGAAGATGAAACGGAGATGAACTTAAGTTGAACTTATTGAGACAAACAAAGATGAAGTGGATGAAGCAATTGAGTGGATGACATGAAGGTTAACGTGAATAAAACAAACGAACATGAAGTGAACGACATGAAGAGGACAACTTTTAAACTAAAGTGTTTTTCCAATGAGATGGAGATGGTGATGGTGCTTCAACTGGGCATCAATAGCTCCCAACCCAGCTGCTCATCGCTGAACATTTTTGTAGCGGTGTAGTGCTGTGAAACTACACCCGTTTGAAAACATTGGCCTTGGTTTCATTGGTGTATTTGTCTCAGTGCCAACAAGTTCTTTCTGGCCTACCTGCTGTTTATGGTTTCTTCCGAGCTGTTTTATTGGCATATTGAAGTGTGATTTGCTGAGGCAGCCAAAACGCAGTACTACAGCTTTGGAAAGGAGGTGACAGTAGCAGTTTTTGCTAAAACTTGTCTCGCAAATTTCAACTGACAGTTTAGTGGAAGAACGGGCAACGGAGCAATCGTGCTTCATATCAAGTAGTGCACAGCAGCAGATTATGTGATGCGACTTAAGATTTCGAGTCGAGTTGTACACTTATTCAGGTTCTCATTCCTACTCAAATTGACACTACTTTTTGCGAATCTATAGTAATAGTCGTGTCAGCTCCCCTAATTGGCTTGCAGCTTCAGCAATGAACCAGAGGCAGTTTCGTCAGGACTGGTTCATCCTCTATACGGACAGCTCTTGCGCTGTGACGCCGATGCCCAAGATGCTTCGGGTTTTGCATTGCGTTTTCATTTATGTTTTGAAGGGGGGTACCCTGTGAGGGGAAGTAGCAAGGAAACTAAATAGGAGGAGAAACTACTACATTCAAGGACGTAGAAGAACCCCTCGTGTGATCGAACCGTCTCCTAGATTCTATCTATCTATCTATCTATCTGTCTATATTTAAATGGAGATTTAGGAAAACAATGTTGTGTGATATCAGTGATATCCGCAATGTGATTGTGCTTTGAACTGCTCAAAATTCCAGGCTTCTCAGTTTCTAGCAGTTATTAGTCAACACAAGCAGCAACTATTCATTAGTTGGACTTTGACCTGATGCTAACCAAAATAATTCAATGCTAAATACATAACACATGGTGCTGGAACTGCAGGCTACGTCTCTACGAGACAGCTGGGCGACCAAAGGAGGAAAGCGCAGCGAGACAGACGGCTTGTTGGTTTGAATACACATTTGCAGCTCAAGGCGCAAGGTTGCTTGATTTGTGGTGGAGTGTTAGGGATTGGGAGGCTGCTAGCACTGCATGAATCAAGGCATTGAATTAAGCACCTGCTGAGCAACTGTGCGTGTCTTCCTGCACATGACTTGACCAAACGGTGAACAACCCTGCTACACCTTTTGCATACTCTATTTGATTTCTTTTGGTCGTTAAAACTTGTAGGCTCCTCGAACCTCTTTTTTGAACAACCTGTTGCCAGAACAGGATGTGGTGGTCTTGATCTTTGGCGGGCCGACAGATGTAAATCGACAACTCAGCCGACAAGAGGACACGGTGTTCTGGCATATGGAACATACGGCATCTTGGGAATGCCGTATATGATACTGCATGCGCTTAATAAGTTATCATGATCAAACCTGGTCAAATTCTGATTGGCGGAACATATGTATATAATATATATATATACACAGCAACAATAATTTCCTCCGTGACAGGAGCTTTGGTCATTTTGCAAGCGTCATTTGTGTTCGCTTGCTGTTGTTCATTTGTGAGTGGTAGACATGAATTTATCCTATTGTACAGATACTCCAAAATGTTTATACCAGAGCTTAAAACCTCAGAAGGAGGCCCAAGATGGTGCTCAAGGTGTCCAAACTTCACACACACACACACCGTTTGCGTCAACACTTCTATTGTGGAAGAACGGCACAAACTGAGGAGTGAACCCAAGTCTTTGCGCTGACAAGTGCCGTGGTCCTGTGGGTGATTCAATGGATTGTGATTCCGCGCACCAAACACCTCGTTGCCAAGCAGTTGGTCACGGAGCACTCCACAAAGTAGCTCTCAACACTAGCCGCAAGCCACCAGCATGACCCAGAGTTCTCATAATGTTGCCATGCCCTGTTTGTGGGGGGTATCAAGCCTGCGCAGGAAGTGTGTAGACCGTGCTGAGATGTGTGTACATATTGCAACAAGCATAGACATAGACAAGATTCTGTACAAATAGATGATCTTATGACAAAGTGGCTTGTCTCCACAACCTTGACCTTTGCGAAGGACCTTTTGCTGCAACAACTGCTGGGGACTCAAAGCTTGGAAATCGTACGTAAATGCGCCTGAGAAGAGAAGGTAGAATTCTCCCCCGTTGTGCAAGGGTGTGACTTTAACTTTGCAAGACTTCAAGTCTGGTGATTTGGATCGCAACTTCCACAGCTTGGTGCAAGTCTTGTGATTTCTGAGCTTTTTGTAGTCTGTTGATCCGCCTCAGGCAGGATCATGGCTTCGGTGCCGTGGCCATTTGTGGCCTGTGCGGCTTCGGGGACCAGCCTGGGCTCCCAAAAGAAACCCAAGGAGATCACCCAGACCACCCACTTGTGAAGAGACAGGTTCGATGAAGAGGCAACAGGTATGCTTGGGTTAACATGGTATAAGATTGTATAAGTATGTATTGAGAATGGTGTTTCTTCTTTCTTCAAGACCGATCCCAAAGGTTCTGGCGCGATGGGCTTTGGCAATTTGCACCGTTGCTACTAGGCAAGGCACGTTCAGGATTGATAGATTGGAATTGGAGAGTCATTGCATGTGTCATTTAATCTCTGTTCTATTTTCTCTAGGTTACTAAGACTAAGACACGTTTTACACTATGCCTTTTAGTTGGAACAGGTGCTGAACCACTGGTGGAGAAAGTTGATCATACAACCTCCTGAGTCAAGTCCAAAGTTTCACTGATCATCCTTGGACAGGTGAGACTCACACTGGCTTCCATGCTTCAGAGGCAAGTGGTGAAAGATGGTGGTGTTGGTTTGCACATGTTGCGGGTCGGAATCCTCTGAAGTCGCTGTACATGTCAATATTGATGCTGAGATAAATGAACCTGAACCTGAGTTCGCTGATGAACAAGACATCGGCAGAGGGAGCGTTTTGGAGTCTTGGAGCGTGTGCATTCTTACGGCCATGTGATATCATGCGGCTTCCGCAATGACCTGATGGAAAGCTTTTGGACAACTCATCTCACTCAGGTGCTCTATACAATGTCTTGGGCCTTCAGGCAAGAAGAGTAAGAATCGAAGTATCCGTCGTCATACCATTGCTGTTGGATTTTATCGAGCTTGTACATTCTGTATGATTTGCCAACGCTATGGAAAGGGCACAATGGCAATGCACCAACCCCAAAGCCGATGTGCACTTCTTGTTTTCCGCTTTTTCGCTTCGACTTGATTCAATATCTTTCCGCAGGCAGCTTGGAGCGCGGCAGGTTGGCTGGGTTAGTATTGTCAATCTAGATTCACACACTCGGGATGTGAAGATATGACCTATTGATGAAGCACATGGATTACAAAAGCTGGGAAAGAGCAGAATTGGACGCAGATAAATTGACCTAGTGATGATACTGACTGGATGAAGCTTGACTGAGTCTGACCGAGCTGTGTTCGTTTTTTGAGCGTCGACTTCCAAGGATTGCACAAGAGAAGGCTTACAAAATGCCTTTGTTTGCAAACACATATTGGTACAGTTGTACGCTCCAGGTGGTACTGATCGCACATGGTGGTGCAACCGGAGCTGTGTTGCATGTGGCGTTCCCAGTGAGCAGTTTCAGGCAGCTTGGACGGCGCAACCACAGTTTTCACTTCAGTAGAGATGAAAGAGTAAGTATGATACCAGACGCTTTGCTGGTTGATTATGATAACCACCCTTGGGACGTTTTGCTTGATAATGCTCCGTCTCGTGTTAAACTGACCCGTCCACTGCCCTCTGGCTGAGGCGGCAGTTCATGTGCGAAACCCTAGTTTGTTTCGCACTTTTCTGTCGACATCTACAGCAGTTCAACCGTTTGTCCTCCACTGGACAGGCACCAGGCTCTGAAGACCGCCGCATTGGTGCTCTCGTCCTGCTTTGGGCACCCAGCTTCGAAGAAGTGGCCAGAAACCAAGGAGTCAAAGAGTATGAAAAGGTATTGAAGATCAATGCATGTGCACATGGCCTTTGCAGGTGTTATAAATGCATGCTATTGTCCTTATGGCCTGAGGCTCGTGCAAAGAGGCATTGGCTTCCGTGCGGAAGCCGAAGACATCTCTGCAAAAGCGGGTGCAGTGTGACAGACCCAAGATTGAGATTCCTCTACCCAGACTACTCATGATTTTGACGACCAACATTTCAATGCCTCAATGCACCTCAAGGATCTTCAAGGCAGATTCACAAGAAAAGACTGTCCAGACATGACAGTGGGTCAAAAACCTGGAGTAATCTATTCTGTTCGTTTTCGGTAGACCCCTGCCCTGATCCACTGCTACACGTTTACACATTTTTGCAGCAATCGACTTTCTTGGTCTCAAGCTGAGCCAACCACAATCATTGCCCTCAGGTGGCAAATGCAGATGCATGGCGTCCTGAATCACTATGACCTTCCTGACCTGCTGGCTGTCGTCAACTCAGCTAGAGCTGCTAGCTGGCGTGTGCTGCATCGTGGTCACATGAGGTTAACGGTTGGTGCTGTTATCTTGCCTGTAGACATGGCTGTGGTACCGAGATCTCCTTCTCTTTCTCATCCGAAGCGTGTTCTCCTTCCCAAGGCGATTCCGCGGAAACGTGCCGCACCGACGTTGATTGTGGAGCCCCGTGGAGCCACGAGAGCATCACTGTGAGAATGCTTAGTGATGCTTACCCTTTCAAAGTTGGTCCGATGGAAAAATGAATCATGAATGCATCGGTCCTGGTCTCTTCGATCGACCAGGTTTGAGCAGGATATTAAGAGATAATATATACATTGAGTGTGCATGATGTTATTTGAAGAGCCAACAGCCACTTTTGCGAAACTTCAGAAGACCAGTCAGCTTTCTTTCAAGCCAAGGAAGCTTGGCAAATCCTTCCTGCGAGCTACCAAAATATGCCTTTGTCCGCAAGTTCCGCAAGCGCCTGAGGCCCCGTGGATTTGCCTGGAGAATGTACTGGCTTGCTGCCAAGCGACTGCGGCGAGCAGGAGATTGGCAAACAGAGCTCCACCAACCAATGCATGCTAAAGGAGATGCACACATGCAAGAAACAATTCTGATGTAGACATCACATGCTTTGTTCAACGCCTCCTCACAAACCTGCGGATGCTGGGAAATAACCCCTCCAGTGGAGCCAAGCTTTACGGCAATGGCAAAGCGGTAGGACACAGCTTGCGGATATTGGCAGGTGCGTTGGAGCTTGTCGAGCAAAGGGCAACACCTTGAGTCTTGATTCTTGATGAATCTTGTGGTCGTGCTGAGTCTGCAGCCCAGAGCTGATGGAATATCCTTTGATGCAGGCTGCCGTTTGAGCCAGCTGTGGCGGGCCAGGGAGATTGTTGCTTTTCTGCAAGCGCGGGTGGCACAAGCTTAGGGTACCTACAGAGATACCCTAATGACATGCCAATGTTTGACTTAGTGTTTGTGGAGCACAAACGTGCACTGCCAGATAATGACCCAGAGGAATTTCGAACAAGGACTTGAGCACGAGAAATGGGCCTGTCGGATCCTGTTGGATCTTGTCAGCCCAAAGGGATGACATGAATCCAAATCCTGAGGCAGATCCAGTGCTTGTTTGAGCAAGTCCTTGTCAGGTTCTGAGGGATGTTAACGGACCATATAGATCCACAACCAGGCAGTCCAAAAAGATACTTCTCAGTGTACTCCAACTGGTGGATGGATTTGACGCTCCATTTGCAAATCAGCCTCGCTGTTTGCACAACTGCAAAAGTGTAACATTGTCCGACAGCAATTGAAGATGTCTCAAGGTTTGCCCTGCCAAGCCAAACAAGGCTTCTCAAGTATCGTATACCGATCCGGAATGAGTTTGCCCCTGCGCTCACTCCCGCTTATTCTGCAGATTCACCCGGCTCCACAGCCAAACCCCGCTCGCAGCAGATTTGCTGGGCGGGGCGTGCAGGGAACCCTGTAGCTCCTTTCGTCAAAACCTCGAGCTGCAAAGGATACGTAGCACACTCAAGTCGAATCTCATAGCCGTAAATACAAGTCAACCTTTTACCTTTCTATACTACACTGGAGATGTTCTGTATACTGTTTTCCCACTTGGACCGAATTCTTTAGGTGGAAACGACAGGGGCTGAAATGTCCTGTTTGGACTCCCCAAATGTAAATACATTATTGAGGGGAAAACATATCAATGCTCATTTTCCGTCCAAGTGTAAGTCACAACCCATGACCGCACACTTTTTCATTCTGATACCCATCACTTATGGTTACAGAGGTGTTTTCAAGACACAGACTGCGAAAACAGACCCGGCGAACGACCGCTAGACCGCTGAAGCGATTAGAGTTTGCTGAAACCTCAATCCTCGAACTTGTATATAATGGAGCACCAGAACATGCTCCAAGCAGCACAGCCCATGCGCCGAACACGCAGCATAACCTCGTAATAAAATTATCCAGGCACTCCATGGGAGCACACTTTGACGCTTTGACATGCCCGCCTCAACAGCCTGCTCGTTTTGCTTCTGGAGCCTCATTTTCACTCATGCCGCATGCTTGACATGTTTGCATTGTTTATATAGCTTTGAAGGCTTATTTTGATGCTGATGACGCCAGTCATCCACAATGATCACGGACCTTCATTGGGCATCTCCATTTTCAATCAAACCTGCATTCATTTACAGTTCTCAGGTCAGGTCCCAAAGGAAACAACATGTACTGTAATCGGACAGTTCACGTTCGGCCGTCAGCCCAGATTAAGGCTCACGGCTTGCTGGTGCTGTGTTTGGTACTTTGTAAGTGACGAGCCCCGATCCAGTCCTTAAGCTTAATAGAGTCTTTCTTCAGCCTGGCTCACAGCTCATTTGACAGACCGAAGACTCCACTAGCTGAGCACAGCTTTCTCCTGTGGTTAGTATCCATTGGACTGAAAGAAGTGAAAACGCCAAGTTGCCCTTCTTTTCACTCTGTTTTCACTGCAGCCCTGAAACTAGGGCCAGAATAGTCTCTTCTGACTGCAGGGAATAAACAAACAAACACAGCACCGATGTGAATCCCATGCTTGGTTGGATGACAAGGTGTTTGAACAATGTTGAGGTGTCGAGTTTTGCTTAAATATATAATGGCATTCAATGATTCTTTCTATGTATATACATATGTACATATACACGCAGGTTTTTATTTATTTTTTCAACATCAGGAATAGCAACTGATTTGCCTGCAACTTCTGCAATGGCCTGCTCTGGAAGCTCTGCATGCTGGGTGCGCGCGAGAACCTGCCTGAAGCAGAAAGGAGCCTTGGGGGAGCTTTGTGGAGCTGGGAAACAAGAGGAACATTTCGGAATGATCCGACCAAGTATCATCACCCCACCCAGACACACACACCCACACACAGCTTATGGAACCATGTCAACAACATTGAAAATATCAATCATATTAATATGAATACTGATAGAAATTGCTCCTCCTGGTGCAGGCAGATGGCTTGGACGTTTGCAAAGTCGTGCCTTACAGTTTTCCACAAGTGCTTTGGTGCAAACTGGTGGGTTCTTGAGGTAAGTCGTACTTTGGAAGGGTCGGTCATGTGACTTCTAATTAGTATGTTGGTACGTAGCTTTGTGGAAAGCAACTCTTTGCTGATGCCGCTGTTGTTTGTTGCTGCATGTGTAGTATTGTTGTAGTATGAGCACAAGGAGACTGATGGTGCATGGCCTGCAAGATGTTTGTTTTTGGGCCTTCAGTTAGTTATTCCAACATCATTTGTGAGCTGTATAAATCAGATCAGCTTGTTTCTTTTGTTGTCTTGGGGCATGCGGCATGACTATTGACCATTCAATCAGAATTCAATTTACAAACATGCCGTTGTAACTTTTGTTTTAGTTTCTCTTTCTTCATAGCCATCCATAGCCACAGAAATCCCAGTTTGGTGGAAGCAGAATGTGTTCACCGAGCTGGACACGTTGTAAGAAATGACGGATCGTGCTGCATGAGGCAGTGACCTTGAGCACCCGCACGTGGACATGAGCCACCTTTTAGTGAAAGATCATCCACAGCGTCCTTCCGCATTGGCCCAGATCCTTGACCTCCAAGTGTGTGAAGCCTTGGATTGGGACTGGGAGACATTGGGAGAGACTTTTGGGGACTGCTTGAAATTTCCAAATCGGAGATTCTATCCCATTGAGGTGCTTTCATTGGAGTATACACACTTCTCACCATGTCTTTTGAGGTAATGACTAGTGACCAATCTCTCACAGGGATGCAACGATTTTGAGTGTGTGTTGAATTCGTGGCAGGATGCGGGCTGCTTTGACGACGCACGGATATTTTTACTCTAGCAATGTGGATTGCTTGCCTCAGACATACATTGAGAATGATGCTTGGATTGCAGTGGGATGGAAAGGCAAGTTGAGCCCTTGTGTTTGCTTTGTCAGAGACTCTGAATGATTGCGGTCATGCATGCGTTTCCCACACCAGCCAAAATTGGGTTAGTTAGTAGACTTGTAGACGCACTGTCGACCCCTGCGGCGGGACCTCACATCCGCCCACTGTCCCGCCAGTCTCCCTCCCCACCAAACATTGCGCCCATGTGCCAGGATCAAGCCAAGTATATACTATAATTGAGCTCGAGGTTTGTATTCTTCCCTTGGTTTTTCCAGTGTTTACGCTTGACAGCAGCCTCAAAAAATCCGAGTTGGGCAGGGACCGCCGAGAAAGAAATTGTTGGTCTTGGCCACACAGTTGAATGAATATTGACTGACTTGCTTTCCAAAAGCACTTTCTAACTGGAGAAACCACATGCTTGGCTATCGTTGTTTCACAATGCAATTCCCACTTGTCCAACCCCAAGTCAATTTGTTACGCTTGGATTGGATTTTCAAACTGAGAGAACCAGAGTCTCTCAAGATCCGATGCTCATGCTTTTGTTTGAACTTTTGAGGTGTATTCGTATGCGCAGCAGCTGCATGCCTTGCCCACAGAGCAAAAGCGCCATTGCGCACGACCCAAAGGTACCTACTCAGGTTCTGATGTTGCTCGGCGAAGAGCGAATCGAGACTCTGCGTCGGTGTAACTTTTCACATGTGACTGAAGATTCTTTCGGCAGCTTTCATGTTGAACATTTTAAAGTATTAGTATGATTAGTACGTAATCGTTAGTACTGCAGCAAAGCACTGATTTGATTGTAACCCTTGTGTGGCAGTCGTTTGAGGTTGGAGTAGATGAGCTTGCATATGAAGCTGCTTGGCAGAAGAAAGGTCATCCAAGTCCACACACCAATTGTTCGATGCGTCCCGAGTGGCATCCTGTCCAGACAGCCCAATCTTGTGGAAGGCAGGCCATCTTGACTGACGGCTGCATAATTGAGTCATTTGTCAGGTTGCTTTCCGAGTTCAAGGTTTTAGACATTTGGAAGCTGCAGCAAATTGCACTTCCCGCCTGCCCTCCCGAGTGAAAGTGGTGATGCAGAATGCTGCTCAGAACATCTTGAATTCACCACCAGAATGGGTGGACTTGGCAGGACGCCTTCACCTAGTATGTGTCGGCCAAAAGAGCCCAGCAACATGCACTTGCTTCTTCACCTCTGTCGCAGGGTGTGATGGGTTGTTCTGCAAGAAAGGCTCTAAGATGCCTTAATGTACAAGTCTCCCATACTGTTTGGCTTAGCTTTGCTGGGAATTTGGACAGCCACCACCGCCACCGCCACCGCCACCACCACCACCACCGCCACCACCACAGATGGAGCGTCCCTTCGCCAACACATCTTTTTTTCCTGAGCTGTCTCTCCGAGTGCGTTCTTTTGAAGGAGTTTCTCTTCTCAATTTTCGAATCACATGAAGGCTGGAAGCACTGCGAGTGTGCGTGCTTGGGACTACAGCAGGACGAGGTTTCCCACATCTGGACACAACTATCCAGATGTAACTTGCCATGAAACGGGGACTAAGTTCTCTTGAGTGGCAGAATCTTACTTTTGGTTGGAGGCCATTGCTGTTAGGTTGGAGACCATCGCTTCTAGGGACAAAGTTGCCTTGGTTGGGAAGTGCTGTGTTTGCTTGTCGTGTTCCACTGCCCAGGTAACATGCTCTGTGACTGGACAAGGCTTCTTTGAGTTTCTGGATGATGCTTGGAGGGTGAACAGTAGTTCTTGATGTGCAGCAAGACCCCGTGAATAGCTTTTTTTCTTGCTCTATGCAGAATCACTTGTGTCTTCTGAGGATCTATATGAGCGACAAGATATTTTGGGAAAAGCCTTGATGACCGGCTTTGCAGAGATGTTGGACCTGCCTCCTGAGACCTTTGCTCAATGCTTCGAAGGTCATGACATGGGAACCATTCGGTTGCTGCGATACCCACCTGCGGAGACTCCAGAAGAGGCTGCCCGGAGACAAGTGGCCAGCTATGGAATCAGTCCTCATACTGACTTCGAGGCCTTGAAACGTCCAAAAACAGGGCTTTTATGCAGACGTGGCACGCTGCAGTTCACATCAGGCCTTCACATTGATGCATCAAAGTGCTGCCGGGCTTCAGTTCTTGAAACCTGGTGGTCGCGCTTGGTTGGATGCTCCAGTCAAGAAGGAAGAATTTGTGGTGAGACTTGGACTACCACTTGGCTTTGCACTTTTGCGTTGGCCCTTGTGCTTTGTTCATTAACTTAGCCTCAGGATTGTGGGAGACGTCCTGGAGCGCTTCACTAACGGAGTCCCTTAGAAGCAGAAAGAGACATCATTGCAACGTGTTAGGATCACCCCCCTTTGCCTCGCATCAATAGCCTAGGCCTCCCCCTTTGCCTCGCATCAAGACCGTTGTTTGTCTGCAGCTTTCTGCTTGAGGTTCTCCGTGCCACTCCGCACAGAGTCCTACAAACTGAGTGGGAGCGCTTTTCCATAATCCGCTTCAATGTGTCATGGCAGTACTAAACTTGAGACTAGCATCATCAACGTTTTATAGGGGAAGTTTACTAAGTGAGTATTATTGAACACTATGACTAGAACCGATCTGTTTGCAGTGCTGACTTCTTGAGATATGCGACCATGTGGCCTTTGTCGGATCGGACTCAGGCCATGCGGCCTGAGACTCTCATCCAGCCGCTTCCAGAATTTATCTCCAAGTCACGCCCAGCTCGCTACACGCCCGCCGGGGCCCCAGAACATGCTGCAGCGACTGTTTGGAATGGTTCCATTTTCTGTAGGGATTTGGAGTGCTGTAAACCTGCATCTTGCAGGTCAAGTTGGTCACGCACACCATATCCAAGCATGAGAATAAGTTGATTTGTCTACGTTTGTTTTTGGAATCTCTTAAACATGTTTCTGGAATGAAGGTCACCATGCAAAAGCACATGGACACCACTTTGACGCGCTTGGAGCGGGGCCTCGGTGCCTGGGAGAAGGCGGGACGTGGATGGGCTCTGAATTTGCAAAGCTGGGCCCTGGATTCTGAACTTTCAGCTCGGTGTGAAGAACAAACAGTCCTAAAACAAATCAACCAGGACCTCCTAGGACTGGGACCTTCTGTTTTCATATGTTGGGCTCCGGACGTTCGAACAAGTGGTTTCACAAGGTTTCCAGAAGCTTCGCCATCGTTGCAAGTTCGCCAGGGCAATCCTGGGCGGAGCACGTCTGCAAACTATGTGTATGACAAGCCAAGCTGATCAGCTGTGGCATGGAAGCGACCAAGCTGATGGAGGCAACGTTTTGGCTCCAGAATTCTACAGATGCACTCTGCACTCTCGATCTGGAAGCTGTTCAGCTTGGGAGGCTGGGTGTTCGACTGATGACTTCAATGATCGATGGGGGGTGGTGGAGCCACGCGCCGCTGGAACTCATGAAACCTCCTTGATCAAAGTGGATGGGAGGAAAAGAGCCTACCAGCTGCGTTTTTGTTCGTGACTGGACTCAGCGTCAGGTGAGTCAAAATCAACAGGGGGAAGGAGGGGAGAGAGAGAGAGAGAGAGAGAGGGAGAGGGAGAGGGAATCGTTTTGGAAGGAGCTAGTCTTGTCGAGACCAATCTTGACCAGTTGCGACGTGGTGGGTTTTGGGAGTTGACCATGGAGGATTTGGGGCTTGTTTGAATCTCCCTTGATATGTTTCTTGACTCTTGACGTTTGTTCAAGGCAGAAGATTCCGAAGCGACCAGCACACGAATCAACGGCTTACCATTGCCCAAGTGTATCCATATAACATACTAACTTAGACTTCTCGACTGCTTGACAAGGCCTTCCAAGACCTTGCACCCCAAAAGCAAGTCATCGCCACCGTCACCATTCTTCCAGCTGCAAGTTCATTGAACATTTTCCCTACCGGCCATACCAGCTATCGGAGATTTCTCGTGTGCATAGCGATGCTCCACACACGCTATGCCGTGGTAGCTTTCTTTGCCTTTGTGCATGGGAAGGACCTGATGTACCTCACATATTTTCACATGACATTGCTTGGCAATTCGAGACGTCTTTGCCACAAAGCGTGAAAACCAGCTGGCCCCCTGTCGTCACCCTGTGCGGAGGAATTGGAGACGCCCGTGGAACGGCTGATTAACTATCATTACCCTTCGCAGTACGTGGTGCTGAGCTCAGTGCCATGCTCATGACTGAAATGCTCAGGATGGCGCTGGAAAAGTGATACAAATGGATCACCGATGAGAGGGTTTGACTAACGCATGAGGGGTTCAGAGCCTTTTTGTTGAGAGAGTCTCGGGTGAAGGGACGATCAGAGGAACAACTTCCATTGCAGTCCCGGACCATTTTGTGATTCATCACCGAATGAACGGAGGTGCAACGCTTGCGGAAGGGCCAGGACATCAACATCGATGGACACCTGGAAGAAGACGCTTGGTCTGAGGCGCCGTGGATGTCGGAAGGATGTCGGTTTGGAGTCTTAAGAGAATCTTAAGAGGGCCGGTCATTTCTCTTGCTTGAGCTGGGCTGGGGTTTGCCCGCTTGTTTGGACCGGATTCTGTGGGAACCCTGATAAGGCCTCTTTGGAGTTTTCTAGAACTTCCAGTCAGTTTCTTGGCAGGTTCCATGGCTGGATGATTTCCTAGATCTGGCAGGGCCTCGCTTTGACGGCTGGAAAGAGGCATCTAGGGATTATGCGAGGCGCAGTTGCCCGGCGCCTTTCTTCTGCATACTCGTGTGAGATGTTCAGAGTTCAGAGTGTGGCAAGTCGAATCACACAAATTTTCTGGTCCACCCTTCGACAAACTCGCTGACTTTAGCAGACTAGGACCAGCGCAACATCATCTAGGTTGCTCATTTGCGGATTGAAAACGTGAGACAGTGAGACACCCCTCAAAGTCATGTTCGAACCAATTGGTCCATAGTGCGCAAGCTTCGCAGTTCGCAGTTTGTTTTGGACTGCAATACGGTCATGATAGGCGTTTCACTGGCTCGTCAAACCCAACACGGGTGAAGCTGCGCTGGGATGATGCCTTTCTCTACGTGGCAGCAGAGCTGCGGTCCAGGCAAGAGCAGGGACACCATGAAATCTTGCAAAAGCAGGGTGGTATGTGGAAGTGCCAAACTACTTGTGTGACAAGACAGCAGACGTCCTGTTGTTTAGTCTGCCGGCATTCCAGGTCCTTCACGGACTCATTCTTAAAGGTACGCATCTCGTGTCACACCAGAATCCAAAGCCTTCAGGGTCTACTCGTCGGCGTATACTCAAGTTTCCCTAAAAATCTAGGAACCACATCAGTAGTGCCCGAGCTATCCTGCGTCCATACTAGTAGCGTCCTAGCTAGGAGCGAACTGCTCCCTTATCCCATCCTTCAGTTGGCTTTGCGGCAAAACACCGCGCCCTGCGGTAGACCCGGAGGTCGGTGTCCGCCTCCGTGACCGGGCACTGCGCAGATTTGCAGAGCGAAGTTTGGCCAAAGCCTGTTCTGCCAAGAGCCCAGCAAGCAGATGTGACAGGTGATTTCCCGCTTGTCACGCATTTCCGGGTCGCATTCTTGTAGCTGTACGTAGTAGATCCTAGTAGCGAGTGTAAATATCCATCTGGACAGACTGCCGCAGGCAGTGTGGGGTAGGACTGTGGTGAATGAAGCACTCAGGCCATACTTTGACGATGATTTTGAAGTGTTCATCGATGAGTCTCAAAGCAACTACTTCTACGTGGAATTTGAATTGAATGCCAGGAGCAAGTGGCAACGTCTTTGGGTCATGAGCAAGCCTTGAAAACATGGGCTGATTTTGGCAAAACAAACAACACTCTGCAGAACATTGAAAAACACAGGGCTATGGTGTGTCGGACTTACACAAAGTGTACATGAGGCGTGTGAACAGAGTCTCTTTAGGAAGTTGACAGTGGAAACCAAGTCGATCCAGCTTCCTTCCGTGGCAATGCTTGCAGGAACGCCAGCTACACTACTCTGTGGTCACAGCCACAGGCAGGCCTAGGTTCTGTGGCTCCCGAGTGCGGGAGGCCAGGCAGCGGCTTGCAGGGAGTGTGCTGCAACACCACGTGGAACGGAGGCCGGAGTTAGTTATATATGTTATAGTTACATCATATACTGTATATATATATATATGTATAGCCGAAGCGCGCGTACGGCGCTATGTGTCTTTCGACCGGAAGACAGGGCTCAAAGTGGAGCTGGGGCCAGGGTGCGTCGTGCAGCCATGGAACCTGGGACGGCTCTTGGACATGGGGTGGAGCCGCGAGAACCTCGCCTTCTGCGAGGGCATGCCGGTGCAAGAAGTCCAAGGGCTGCTCCCAGGCATAGCCGGTGAATGGACGGCGGAAGAGCATGGCTGGCTCCAGAAAGAAGCCAAACGACAGAGGATCAAGCTGGACCTTGAGGATCACATGTTCCTCCAGCATCAGCGCCTTCTCTACAAAGATCAAGCATGGCTCAAAAAGGATCGAGGAGACTCCCACCGCGCAGGCTTTGAGCGGCACTTCGTTGGCCTTGGTGAGAAAGACTTTGCCGAGGGTGACTTGGCGGACTCGTGCAGAACATCTTCTACAAGGCTGCGAGACTGAGGTGCAACGCAAGGACGTGGAGGAAAGAGAGAGGAACAGGTGGATTCAGAATCTGGTGCACGAGCTCCTTGAATCGACGAAGTTGATTGAGGAGGCGCAGAGGGCTGAGCGGGGTTCGAAGTATTCGTGAACCGCTTTGCCATGGGAAGGAGGGCGGCCACCATTCGACAACATGTTCGGCACGGTCGGAGGCTGCAAGAGTACATGGGCTCGATCTTTGGCGAGCCGTGGCTAAGAGATCCAGGTCATTTAATTGCCTATATAGCCCTCCGCATGGAAGAACCCTGCGGTCGAACAGTACCAGCATCCTTCTTTAAAGCTGTAGCGTTCTGGAAATGTCAGCCGAGGTGCCCCAGGAGAAACGAATCTCAGCGCCTCCATCGCAGTCCTACACTTCTTGCTCGAGGTGCAGAGGAGTGACCATTGGCTCCCGAAGGCCACGGTGAAAGCAGCTTGGCTGCCAGTGGAGGCCATCAGAGCGATGGAGGGGGCGGTCAAAGACCACATCATGCCCCCTCGACTCGGAACGGGTCACCATCATGAGTTGGGCGGCGGTCTGTGGCATTGACAAGGAGATCCGCAGACGTTGGGGACGCTGGAGGCCATCGGTTGATGAAGCCTATGTCACCACCCCCCGGAAGCTGGTCCTCGAGGCGCAGAAGGAGGTGGCCAGGCGGGTCAGGAACATTTACGGGGTGTCGGACTTGGTGGATGACCTGGCCACAATTGGTAACTTCACCCTTTGGCTGCAAGACATCCATGGGAAGCCTCCCAGTCAGGCAAACAGGGAGGCAGGCGATTTTGCGCCACCACAATCAGGTTTGCAAGGAAGCGCAAAGCCAGTGGAAGGCGGTGGAGCCGCAGAAGAGGTTGGGGGGAACTGTCGGAGGAGGAGGTCATCGACCTTGATCCAGGTGCAACCTACTCTCCCACGGAGGTCTTCGAGGAGGAAGGAGAAGACAGGAACGCCGATCAAGCAGACAAGGGTGATGTATTTCCCTTGGGAACCTACGTCCTTTTGGTGGTCGGTCGGTCACGGGGGCGCACCTTTGCACGTGATTGGTGGCTGCTATCGGATTCTGGGTATCCACTATACACAGGGAGATCGGAGAGGCCGAACTGGACGCAGCTCAAGGTGAAAAGCTGTGCTCAACGTGTTTCACAGCCAGGGAGAAGATGGCTGAGGTCTTGCAGTCAGGCGCTGATGCCGAAGTGCAGAATGAGCCTGGAGGGCTTTGGAGGCCTGGCAAATTCGAGACCCCGATCGACTTGCGATCTTGAAGGAGAACAGGGGCCGGAGTGCTGGGTGGGGCTGGATGCCAATCAGGTTGGGGGTCGACTCTCGACGGACGTCGTGGTTTCTGGAGGGCGGATGCACTGTCGTGTTTGGCTGAGCTTGGAGGGCGGGCCCCGGAGTGGGCACAGCTTGGGCGAGACTGGCCAAGGCCTTCTGGACGGAGGTGGAAGAGTTCTCGAATGAGGCTCATCAGTTGGCGTTGGGAAAGCACGCACTCCATTCGAGGAGGTCATTGGGGGGGATCAAGAATCGACTACAGTAGATGGTCTGATCCGAGAACTGGCCGACGAGGGGAGATGTTCAGTCAGAGATCGCATTCCGTCGGGTTCAGGCCTGGGGTGCGGTTGTGGAGGACGCAGACTACAAGTTCGTCGGTGACATGGCGGCCACTGGGGTTCCGGTGGGAGTCTGCTCGCAGATCCCTCGGTTGAGGCCGTCTATGACAAGAAGACTGCCCATGAAGAAGGTGGGTCGCTCCGATGGGAGGAGGATGAGCTCGACTCCGTAGTGTGAGAAAATTATGGGTGAAGGAGCGCGTGGAGAAGGTGAAACACCACATCCTAGAGGATGTGAACAGAGGGTGGATGGTGGAGATGGACAAGGAGGAGGCCATGAAAACGTATGGAGAGGACCTGCAGGCGGCCTCACTCAACGCTCTCTGAAAGGACAGAGCTTGGACCGATGTCAGGGTGGTCCACGATGGCGCCCACGGCCTCAGAGTTGACGCCCATGTTGACCAGCCCAACAGGATGACTTTCCCTCACTTTAATGACCTGGAGTGCGCTCTTCGTGCGTTCAAGAGCCACGAACCCACTGCTCGGTTCATGATGGCATTCGACATCAAGTCGGCGCACCGGCTGGTCCCTATTCACCGCAGAGACTGGGGGCTGCAAGCTTGCAGGCTGGAGGATGACACGAAGGTCTACCTGAACACCAGGGGAACGTTCGGGGTGGCTAGCGCTGCGTTTTGGTGGGGGAGACTTGCGGGCCTCGCTTTTAGGATCTTCCACCGTGTGATCCCCGTGGACGCCCTCATCTACCTTCTGCTGTTTGCGGACGATGGGCTGGCGTTGGTTGGGGGGCCCAGAATGCCACAGGCTGGTCCTGGGCTTGTTCATGTTCCTGGAGCAGGCCCTTCTTGGCTCCCCTCTACGCGGCATCGTGTCAGTTTGCACCTGGCCACCAAGCTCGCCATACGCTTCTTCGAAGACTCCATACTGGAGGACTGTGAGGCAGTTGTCTGACGTCCCCTCGGTTTTGGGTGAGGTGTTTCGCGTGGACGCCATGGCGGACGCGGATGGCATTGCCATAGGCAGTTGGGAGACCTTCGTCACCACGAAAACAAAGAAGGCCAGATGGTCTCATCTCAGGTTGGACCGCACCACGGCACCGTTCTTGTACGTAAAGGGTGAACCGTTTCGCACTATCTATCCTAGAGCTGGTGGCCTCAACGGTGGCCCTCATGGTCTTCGGTCCTTCTGGGACTTGGAGGAAAGGAGCCGGGAGGATTGCGGTGACTGGGTTCACCGACAACTTGTCGAACTCGTACCTCCTGGACAAGTTCTTGACGACGAAATTCCCGGCGTGTTTGGTGCTTATGGAGTTGTCCAAACAAATGGACAAGTACGACTTGGACTTGAGTCTGACCTGGATACCTCGCGAACAGAACGAAGAGTCAGACGACTTAAGCAAGGAGAGGTTCCAAAAGTTCGACGTGAAGAACCGCGTTGAGGTGAACTTTGCCACCTTGGACTTCTTGGTTCTTCGCAGGCTCCTCGACGCCGCCACAGAGCTCGACGCAGAAATCTGCGAAAAGAAATCATCCAAGACGAAGACTTTGAGCCTGGCAAAGGACAAGACACCAGCAGACGAAAGACTCCGGCTAACTCAGCCATGGTAGTCTAAAGTGGGGAAGTGGCTGACACCGGAGGTCTCGTGCACTCCAAAAATGAGCCGAAGGGAGTAGACACATATAGCCGAAGCGCGCGTACGGCGCTATGTGTCTTTTGACCGGAAGACAGGGCTCAAAGTGGCCCACCACACCCACCCTGGAGAAGTGGCTCACACCGCAGGTCTCGTGCACTCCAAAAATGAGCTGAAGGGAGTAGACATATATATATATATGTTTAGCATGTAACTGTATTATGTATATTTATGGTTCTCTCTCTCTATATATATATGTATATGTCATGTACATTGTACATATGTTAATGCGGTATACAACTGTATACGTGTTTTGAAATTGACATCTAGCTGCCACAAACACTCTCAGAGCCTTTCAGACACCTGCTTACAGCAACCCTTCCAAAGCTTTCAAAGCCTTTCTAGAGGCAAGGGTCTTTGCGACCATGGCGTCGAGCGAGAAGGACCGGCCAACTGTTTGCTTGCACTATCACAAGTCTACATAAATCCTGCACGTGACAGCTGAATAGTTTTTTTTCCTTTGCAACTCAGTTTTCTCCGCTTCTGCTTTAGCCACAACTGATGCTGCACAACTACCCTTGCCAAGACAAGTAGTGTGCCATCAGTGGGCTACAGTGCGTCCTTACCACACTAGTCACAAAGCCCCAAAGGGCTCGCAATGGTAGGTGGAAGTTGGACCCTGGAGATGTTTGCCGAGAGCTTGCGGCCTGGAACTGGCATGATCTCCGCAACGTATCTTGGAGTTGACCAAGTTTGTGACATTGAACATCGAACTTCGAACTATGTAATTACATTGTAATTGACAATGGCACGCCTTTGTCGAACGTTGCCAATTTGGCAAGCATAAGCTTCGATTACGTACCTTTAGCCCACATAGAAGACACATAACGATCGAAGCAAGACGTGCAACAGAGTCCAATAGTACTGAAGTAGTGTGCAAGTTGTGGATGGTTGACAGCACTGAGGAGCAATACCACCGAGATGTGGGTCTTAGAGATTCGCTTTCCGATTCTATCTAGACGCTCGTCACAAGAAGCAGTTCTGCTTCCTGAGAATTCTCCCACCGTTGAGCTCTGCCATTGCAGTGTTTCTGCGCAGCCCCACGGCCGCTCAAATAAATTATAGAACAACGACAGTTATCAAGTTTTATTCTTGATGGTTCCAAAATGAAAACCCTTTTCCCGTAGAATCCTGCAAGACACTTATGTCACCACACACGGTTCAGTTTCCTCCCTCCGAAGCTCTTCGAATGTTACATTGAAAAGCCGGGTGACAATTGACCGTCCACCGTCCCACACTAGCACCGCTAAATTGACTTCCTAATTCAACCGCGCTGATCAATATAGATGTTGGATGATGTTGGTATAGTGAGCCAAAACAGGAAACAGGTTCTTAGGTGAGGACAGCAAAAAAAGCTCAAGATGTCCAACCAACAGGAACCTAAGTCGATGCATCAAGGTTAGTGACCCATTGTTTTATATTTTGGGCCATCGACCAGGTGACCAACACGGTGGGCTGCTGAATTCGCCTGTGAGCCAGCGTCTCCCGCATGTCCAAGCAGCAGGGCCACCCAGCTGATGGACCCAAGGGAGCCATTGTGAAGCGTTTCTTCAGTTTGGCCACATCAGTTTTCACATTTGGTCTAGAAGCTAAGCTAAATTCTGGGTGGCCTGGAACGTTACGTCGTTGGCCACTTGTGTGTACAATCGCTCCCGGAAACACCTTTCTTCACTGTTGTTCGGGAACTAGACTCAAGCTTAGATGAATTCCTTTTCACATCCTTCGTGAGCCAGGAGAAGCTTCATCCGGCCAATGGCCAGCGCTTTTGGTGGGCAACGCGACTTGAATTGATTGGCACCTTTGCGACTGCACAACAGGGTCTGCACACGAAAGGTAGAGAAGCAGAGTTATAATATCTAACTGGAATCACTATAGTTTAACAACAGTGCATGTCTGTAGTACGCTGGTCTAGGTCAAACATGTTTCCGTTTCAAACATTCAAACACCCGTCTCGTTGTTTGGAACCAAGTTTTGCCAACGCGCTGCATGCGCCTTGGTGGAGCAAGCTGACTGCTGCTGATACGAAGCACCCAGAGTTACTTGGAGATGAGAGGCCACCAGCTACTAGCTGATGACACTCCAGATGTAGCTGCTTGCCGCCTGCTTCCAAGCATATTTGTTGGGTGACTCTCAGAAGGTTTTTCAGTTGGTCATCTAACTTTTTGGCTCGGATGTGGGCTCCCTGACCGCGCATTGCTGCCGATGACATTCACAAAATCCTGAGCAAGCAACCCGAACTTATTTGACACCAGAAAACACATTCATCGTCAAGTTGTACTCCGACTCCCCAAACTGTTTGAGTATGTACATAGCAAATGTTGTTCTTTTGGCTAATGTTATGATATTTTATGATATTATGGGATGAAGATAATGCTGGGCTGGCTGCTGCTTCAATGACCGAGGCTGATCAAGCAGCGTTGTCAAGAGGAGATTCGTGGTGACAAGCAGCGTTATGGTTTTTCTCAGTTTCTTTGCTGCAAGGGCAGGCCAGTGGCTGGATCTGTAAGTTAGTGTAGTTCTTTGGTTACTTCAGTTTTTTGCCCCAATGGCCTAGTGTCTGTGCGTTGACTATTCTGATATCCCGCATTTGTTTCCTTGATCAGGTTTTTGCTGGATGCCAACAATGCAGCACCGACCTGCTATTATGAGGCAGCATCTCAAAACCTTGGTGGTCATCAGCTCCTTAGAAGACATCATGTTTGCATTCCATCCAATGATCATGGAAGTGGCATTGGACGAAAGTAGCCTCGCAAGGGAGAATTCTCCACATCCACAATTGTTGGATAGAGGATAATTCCTGCGACCTTTTGATGGTTCCGGGTTCCTTTCTTAATCGACTATATCCTCTTTGTTTTGCTGCAGATGCTTTGGCTGTAGTTCTGTGAGCAGATTTGTTTACAAGTTTACCGAATTGTTTGGCTTTAGGCGCAAGAGTGAAACGTGTAACTTGTGTTCAAAGGTACATGCACAACCCTGACGTCTTCGGGTACTTACAATTTGAAAGTACACCTGATGCGGCCAGCTGCAGAAATGTTTTCTGGCTTTCACGATTTCTTCTGGCGCAGCTGTACCAAGCTGAGGCTCCAGAGATCCCAGGGTCCGCCCGAAAACAGAGTATGGCAAACACAGACTATCGACACCAATCTTCAGTCTCCAACAAAGCTGGGGAGTATATACTTGGAATCTCTCATATGACTTCAAGACTTCTATTCATTTTCTAGGGTGTCTAGGAAGAGTTGCAAGCTGCTTCGGACTTGACCTGATCACCACCTCAATTTTTTTGCTTTGGCTTCATGGCCCTTTTTGGATCTGCCGCAGTGTCCTGCAGGTGCAGTATTTGATGAATCGAAACTTTGGCAACGGTACATACACTTCGAACTTGGTGCAGCTGCTAAACCCCAGTGTTTGTGACATCTCCAATGCCTGCAACGCCACAGCCTTGCAACAAGCACTGGACTATGTCAATGTGGCGATCCATGTGGATGGTGCCAGGTTGGTGAAGAAGCCAAATAAAAAATAATCAGTTACAAGTAGCCGCAGCCCAAACTTCGTGCTCCTTCGTTGTTTGTTTGGTTGTGGTCTCAAAGGCTCATTGTTGGCTTTTTTGCTAATCGAGACTCGAGAGATGTGAAGAGCGACATCATGTCGTGTCCAGGTCTGGCAAGTGTGTGCGCTATGCCATACCGGCAGTGCAGACGTCAAACTGGACAGGGGGGGCCTTGCTTTGAAGCACATGTCAGCTACACAATTCAGCGAAAGGGTGTCTTAGCTCACTATATAAATGAAAAAAAAGGAACTTTGTTACTAGCCCTTGCTACTAGTAGCTTCTTGCTCCTAGTAGGGATGCCCTTGTTACTAGTAGCAATGCCTCTGCTACTAGTAGCTTCTTGCTACTAGATGTTTGACAAGCTTGCACATCCACGGCATATGTTGCTGTCTTGGGAGATGTCAATCAAGACCTGAATGTGAAATTTGAGGTGATCCCTCCAAGAGAAGGCTCATAAGGGGATCTATCAACGAGGCGCCAATGCTGGGATGATTGCGATGGCGAATGTTTGATTGGCAAGATTTGGCAAGTCCGCTGAAATTGCAATCCTCTGTCCACGCAAGACTCCGAGCTGCTTCCCCTTTGGACGTGGAGCCACAATACTGTTTGTTCGACGCACTGTTCGACGGTTGTGCGAAACCAGGCGCGCTTGATGTCCTTGCCGGATGTGGGCCAAAGGTTCAAAGCTCAAGGGTGTATTTTGGAAATTTCAGCAGAATCAATCAGTGCGAAATGCCATGCTGAGGTGGGACAGTCCAAATGCAGATTGGAGCCTGGGTTTGCACTTGCTTAAATGCAACGAGTAGAATCCGGCTATTGAAGTCCCAAATTCAGTCTTTTTTTTAGCACCAGTGCCACTCAAAGCACGCAACCTTCAACCTTCCTTCTTTTCCAAGGCTTTGCTTAGACAAGGTGGAGGTGCTGCTAGCAAGCACTTACGTGTGAGAAGATCGAATTTTATGGAGCGGAGCCCTCTCTTCTCTAATTTTCAGACCAAAGTCGTCTGTAGCCGTTGGAGGCTTCAAGCAAAACAGGAGAAGTGTGTGAGTGAGTCTGTGATTGTGCATTTTGCAAATGACTTCCCACTTTTAATTCTGGAAGTGCATGCTGTTTGTTTGGAAAAGCCCCGCAAGTGGGCAGCCACACCCAAAACAGCTTGGAGGCCGGGTTTCAATCAGCTTTTGATCCTGATTAGGCGTCTTGATTCCGTCAAAGACACCAAATCCAATCGCATACCTGAACGTTGATCAGCCCAAGCGTGAGAGCCAATGTGCCTCGGGAGAGACTGAACAAAGAGGAACTCAAGATGAGCGCAGAGCTGAGCCGTTCTAAAGCCCCAAAGGAAACCATTGCCTGTGCAAGCTGAGATCACATCTTGTACCACACACCATGCCACGCTTTGGTCTTCCGCGCTTTCTTGCGTTGTTGATCTTAAGAGCCTTTGCAGAAGAGGAGCCCCACGATGCACGGAAAAAAAAATGAGACATACCTGAACTGGATTGAACTGGGATTTGGAATCTTGTTTGGGTAGGACAATAAGTGCAGGTAGTCAGCTACTAAAGCAACAATTTCCCAAAGCATTATTCAGGTATAACCTTTTAACTTTTTGACCCAAACGTATTCACACAGATCAAAAGTTATCGCCCTGTCCTACAGGAGTGTATAGAATGCACGGATGATGAAGCACTACATGCGCTTCAACGAAGAACTTCTTTTCGCAGCCCGAAGATGTACAAGGGTAGCCTTTAGACAAGGTGGTGTGTTTACAATTATGATGTAGGCTCTGCAAGGAACGGAGGAATGCAGGATTGCCGAACAAGTTGTGTACTACTGCACTGCGTATCTACTCGCACATCAACAGTTGGATGCCTTTTTGGTGTGGCTGCCAACTCTATCATCAATCACCGTCCCGTTTGCTGAGGTACCAGCTTCGACTTTCACTTGAACAAAACAGCTGCTTGATAAAGACATGGCCAACAGCTCTTTGACATCGTCTTGTGGATAGGGGCTTTCGGGGCAGACAGCTTCTACTAGTTACCAGTGCAATGTATATATTTTGTCCGGCTGAGAGGGTTCTTTTGCTTGAAAGAATAGCCTTGACCCAACCAAAATATGCCCTTTGGCTGAGACAGTGCCACACATGTCTTCAAGTTCCCCCTGCTCGCTCCTGTGGCGTTTATTGTGAACACCTACCAAGAATTTTGCTTGCCTAGCCAGTGCCACATACGCAAGCAGTTCAGTACGGATCGCATTAAGGCCACTATGAATTTGCAGTCGAACTGTCAAACCGTGATCAAGCTACTTTGTCGCTCGCAATCCTGAGGTGACACTGACTGGATTGAAAAACAATGGGGACTTCTTCGATGACGTCGGGGACTTCTTCCACGATGTGTTTGAAGGTGTGCGAGAGCCTTGGACCATTGGAGGACTCTGTAGATCGACCCGACCTAGAACCTCATGTCCTTACATCATAGTCTATATAGTTTTGTTTTGCCACTTCTCAAGCTATGAGGGCACTCGTTCCAGTGAATCACTTGTTGGGACTGTGACAATCATATCCAGAGATCAAGATCAACTCAGGAGTGCTTGGATGAAAGCGCCCAACTGCGCTTTGAGCTACAATTCCGATTTCTGGTGGATACATCACAATGCCAAGTGGAAGCAACATTAAACACTGGAAGCGCTATGATGACCATATCTACCTGCGGACCGGACCTCAGTGTCATAGGATTTGATCGCGGGATATAGCTATAGAAGAACTCAATGTTTGAACAGGACAACACGCCCAACATTCTGTCCTAAATTTCTTCTTCAGTCCGGAAACAAAGATAATTTAGGGACTGCAAGACAAGCAACATTTTGTCTTTTCGAGCAGCAGTGAATGGACAGCCTTTGATCCAAAGCCAGAATTTTGTTTCTTTCTCGAAGCACTGGAAATACTCGAGTTTGGTTCAGGTCATTTCCCGGTGACCGCAACACTCTTCCGTGGTCCTGGCGTTTACTACGACCAAGACAGGGTTACCTTCAGCTCATGTGCTCATGACGTCATGTGTGCAGACATCCGGTTCCTGAACAAGGCCAGGTTTGACTGTACAGGAATAGAAGATAAACTTTTTAGGAAGAATTCTACTTTGGAGCTAAAGCGCTGCGCTTGTTTCAGCTGAGGGCTGAACCAGAACATTGAGTGCACCAACGTCCAGTAGACTTGGCTTGACCAAGATCAGGGTATCAGCTGTTCACTTGGGAGGCTGGTTGCAATTACAACGTCTGGGATGTCCAAACTCGAGCGCGCTCTGAGATCCCGGTGCGTCTTACCACAAGATGGATTACATTGGTATCCAATGCCACATTGTATGAAATGTAAGCTTGGTTCCCGGCATGACTCGGTGCCACTTTAAAGGTGCTGTGACTTCAAACACTGGTCACAGCACAACATCATAGGGCAAGAAACCTGTTGAGAGATTGGAGGGCAGACTCATGATGCACCTCTTGGGAAAATCGCAAAGAAGGAACGTGCTGCAAAAGTCAGCAGGAGTTAGATAAAGCCAGATGATAGTAATTGAAGCATGAGCCAGACGCTCCCAGACGACCTGACACGGATGAAAGGTGGCACTCTGCAGAGTTGAAATCCGTTTTGCAAGAAAGAAGGGCTGGCATGGAAGAGAGAGAGAGGGAACCATGTAAAGCACCTGAATTCCGAAGCATCTGACACAAATTGCATGACCGCGCGCAGGACCTTGTTTTGAACCATTCTATATATTTTATCCTGTCATTCTGACTTGTCTCATCTGGAAGTCGTGCGGCTTGAAGCAGTACGGAGAACGGACACTGTTTCAGAGGTTGTGCGTTTGCACACCCTTCCCAGATGAATATTGAAGAACGAGCCTTTGCGTCTAGTTGCTTCCAAATAGATGACTTCACCTCCAACACAACACATCAGCAATAGCTGCGGAAGCGTCCACTAGCATGTCGATGGAGAATAATGACCTGGAAAGATGCCCTTGGACAAAGGCACTGTGGAGATGCTTGGCACACTGAGTCTTTTGCTGCTTTTTGGACTTTAATCACGAAAGGTTGCTAGGCAACCTTGAGTTTGATAAGCTTTAGCTTAGGAGCAGACTTCTCCTACATGACCTGATTTTGAGGTTTTCAACATGACTTTGCAATTGGGAGGGGGGGGGCCCCCCCGTGGCTGGGAAGAATGCGCCCTATGAGGCGCACAGCTGTGCTAAAGATTGTCAAACGTCCAAAGCATTTCTCCATCCCGCACTAGCACGCTCAACTCAAGCCGAACGCGCTGTACATCTGACAGCTGCATCGATCAGCACGAGCGCCCAGATGTGACCAGGAATCCATCCCGCCTATCGATCACTTATATAAAGGGGATGGATTCCCAGGGTGACCTCACTTACAAAAAGCACAGATAAAAAAACGACAAGGAAAAACACACAAACACAAAGAAAAAAACGGGACACAAACATTTATTCTTTTTATATGAGGAAATCGCCCATTTATACTTTCTTTCTCTTTTGGCGATTTCCAATATAGTTAATGACCTAGCACTTGACCCCGGATACAATTTAGAATCAATTTAGAATGAAAATATCAAGTCCACTTAATTTAGGTGGTAATAATAAATAATGCATTAAAAACTATTGAAATTACTTAAGGACTTTAATGCCATGAATAGTAAATATGCTATAACATTTATAGATTAATAAGCGATTTTAAATAAGTGATCATAAATTTTATAGCCCTTACAATCACATCTGTCCCTTATCATTCACCTCCAGATCTAGGATGTGATTGCAAGGTTCATTCACCAATATTTCCCCTTTCATATCTTAACCCATAGAAAATATTGGATCATTCACTTCTTTTCTTTCTTTTTCATGAATTTTCAATAAGAGATTTTCTAGAAAAATTCATGATTCTTTATTAATTCCCTGCCAATTTTATGAAAAATGTGATCGCTGTCAAAAAGCGATTATAAACATGCTAGTCTCTATATATATGGAGGGTGACCATTAATTTATTGACATTTTCTTTTTTGTTTGGTAATAAAGAATGCTTGTGGAGGAAATTAACGGTCATCGTATTTTATTGTTATCAGTGAATTTCCATAAGTCATTTAATGGAAAATTCTCCCATAAATTATAAAGATAGAATATCCCTTTCAAATTGGAGCCTTGACGACCAAAGAAAACGTACGAAAGATAAAACAAAATACCAAGTAATATAAATGGACTAGCCGTTAACCTCACACATGAATATAAAATAAAATGTGTGATCATGATTATAGATAAGAAATAAAAGTTATGATCATTAATTTTCATTGTGAAAAGACAAAGATATGATGAAGAAAATTGATGTGAATGAACCAATATTAGACAATAAACACCATGATGACTGATAAAAAAGAGACAAAAGATAATATCAGTCATAAGGTGTTACACGGTTGTAGCTGGAGAACCTGATGTTGGAAAGTTACGAATAAAATTGTAAGAACCCCAGCTACAACCCCCAGATAAAGACCATTCATTCCCAACACTAAAACTAAAGAAAAGGTTATTATAAATTTTAATGTTGGATCATTCATTATTACCTATTCCATTATCTATAACCATGACTTGGCAATCTATTTTATATTTTTGCCAAGGGTCATCCGCTAGGCTATAATTTTAATATCTTTCACCATCATATTCTTCTTAATTTTGGGCTTTATCTGTCATCATCTTTTATAATGAAAGAAACCATCCTTTTTGCTGCCATGCCAGAGCTTATAAAGCACCAAAAACAATAAGATATATAAAATAAATAGACGGGGAGCAACCTATAAATTTAAAGAGCGTATATTGTTTTTAAGAGATGAACGATAGAGAAATAGCCAAGAAATTAAAATAGAATAACAATGAACCATTAAATCTATTGGCCAATAATAATGAAGTGCCTGTAGAATCCTAAAAGAAGAAGAGATAAGGAAAGACCATAAATAGAATGACCCTTAAGATATAAGATGAAATAGAAAAAGACCAAAACCAACAATGCAAATAATAAAGGAATGAGAGCAACATATCTGATTATAAATGATGATTGAACAGGCGAATGAAATTGAATGTGAGAGAGAACAAACTAGAAGAATGAATGAGAAGAAGACCAAATGAAAGGAAGTGGGAAACCGTGAGTAACAAATGCTTTTCATATAGCAAAAACCAGGCAATGAATGAATAGAAAGTCATCCAAAACTCATCATATTAATGCAGGATGTCTTTTACAAATTAATGCAAATAAAATAGAGTAATATAGAATGAAAAAATATGACAATGAATATGAAAGAAATGAACGACCTAGCTTATGGAATTATCTTTGGAAGCTTATGAAAAATTAAGATGAATTACAATAAAGCTCTTGCAAAATACAAAAAATTTTCATAAAAGATCAGGAATAAATTTGCTAATGGTGGAAAAGATTTGGACATGCAAACAAATAGCTATTTAATTAGCAAATTATTTTCATTATAGCTGTAGAATTTTCATGTGTACTAATGATTCAATCCCCGGCCCAATATTTGAATGAGGAATTGG